CCCCCCCCCCCTCCCCAGTACGCTGTAATAATCCCTGCCATGTGGAGAATATACACTGGAAACGGGCATCTCTTTCTCTCTCCTCTCGTATGTCCCCATGAGCTCGGCCTGATCCTGTCAATTACAGCAGGACAGGTACCTCAGGTAAAGAGGAGTCTCAGTGATCCACAAAGTGCAATATGGAGCTCTTATGAGGCACAGACTGTGGCTCTGATAAAGTGAGAAGCTCTTTATTTTTTACTGCTGCTGAAAAAACGTTAGCTTCTCTTGTAATTGAATGCTGAGGAAATGCTATGAATGAAATGGGTGATTATAAACAACACGCTGGTGAGAACAACTGGGTTCATGGATGTCTCCATCAGTAGACTTATTCATGAGCTGTTCAATTTTTTTTTTTTAAAGATAACTTTTAGTTTACAAGTTTGTGTGATTTATAAAATCACAAAAGAACCTGTAGGCACTGTGTGATTTTACTGTTGTGTAGCATTACATGTCATACTATTTAATACAGCAGATGTGGAGAGCTAAATACAAGAGATAAATGCTTTTATGTATTTAGGTCTTACTGTAACATAATTAACACTGATATACACTTTTACCATAGATATTGTTCATTCAATTCAACACTGATACATGACACACTGATATGTTTTAGTTATGCAAAAATAAAATGTATTCTGTGGTTTTGGTAACCTTTGACCCCTCACCCCTTTTCCACAGTGCAGTAAAGGCAAAGTAGGGACACGAGACACATAGGTTTGGCACATAAATAATACATGCGTGTGGGTCAAGGATAGTTCATTAAAAGTCCACATGAGATGGGATGGCTTTAAAGGAGAACACACAGTGGAGACTTTTTGGATCTCTCTTCACTGGGTACTGTTCCTGAAGTGGTCTCCTCCTCTCTGCTGCTATTTTTCTGGGAGTTCTCTTCTTTGGCTCCTGAAAAAAAGTGTTTGTTTACTCACAGTAACTTTTCTGATATTTCTATTGTTTTATCTTGTCAGCGTTCTCACCATTATTTTTCTCCCTATCAGTTTCCTCAGCATCAATTTCATTATCACTGGGCTCAAGGTTTTCCTGTGTAAAAACAAATATGAGTTAATCACATGTCACAGTTAATTGTGTCTCACTGTCCCCCAAACTACTGCTACTACTACTACTACTGCTACTTGATAACAATACTCACATGAAACGCGTGTCTTTTGATTTTCTTTCTCTCTTTGAGTTGGTAATATCTGGAATAATCAAGAATGAAAATAGGTTTACATGCGATTGCCAAGAGACTAAGCTGATACTAATTTATTTACAATAGTGTGTTTTGGAGAACAGTGCCTTTTGACTTCCTGACTTTTTCTTTTGTCAAACAGCCAAGAGAAACAAATGGTACTGTGAAATATTTATGAGTCTGATTAGTGCCTCACATCTGTCTTCCTCTGTGCAGTTCAAATGACAAACAGGTTGCTGTTGATTCAGACCAGCAGTTTTTAAAGTAAGATGCTTTTATCTCTTAGCAATAAAAAGCCACGTGGCAAATCTCTTCTGGTTTTATCTCAATTATTAAAATGGTTTCGACAATCAGAACAACCCCCGCTTTCACAATCTGTTCTTACACGATCTTGTGTTTATTGTAGGCAATGATTTTACATTTAGACAGCTGGTCAGTTATGTTATTTTCCATGACTTATGTGTCAATATATAAGTATAACCTGATAACATTAGTCTGCCTTGGTGTCAGCTGGCTGATTTAATAGCAGCTGCAGATGCACTAACCAAATCGCAGGTTACAAATGTCAGCATTCTTTGCAAAATGCTGATATTTCTCTGGCATTGAAAACTAAAGAATTAATCGACAACATACCTTCAATTAAAGTGTTTTTGTTTTTATCAGCAAACGAGACATGATAAAACTCAGCTTCTGTTAACATTCTTATTGTGTTATATTTCCTGCGTTGATATCCCTATACATTGCTTTAAATGTAAAGAGCACAGACAGTGTGTACTAAAGGATCACAGCAATAGTGTCACTTATCCTTACTACATTTCAAAGGTACACCTGTTACTTCTCGGTACATGTGCAGTATTCCACCCACCGTTGCAGATAGGAGTTGCAGTCCCTGGTGGAAGGTTTATTTGTCCTCTTCTGTCCATCTTCTGTCCATGTCGTGCTAGCACCTACCCCCACATGCACCCTGCCTGCAGCTCCAGAGGCAATGGGCATCTCTGCCAGTAACAACTACAGATTTAGGAAATCCCAAAATAAACCCACAATCATTTGAAAGCAGCCCTGATGTTGCAAGTGTGCTGAAAGTAAATCTTGCCTTGCAGGATTTCACACACTCCTATTCCTCTTGTTGTTGACCGGCTGTTTGCTGTGTGAGCAGGAAAATGTGGTGGTGGAGTTTATGGAGGTGTTTGTTGTTGTATCCATGGCAACAGTGTATTCAAAGAAGGGAACAGCAGTGAGACCTCTGAATGAATGGAAGAACTTTACCGTATTTTACTTCAGATTACCTTACTTTGCTTGACTTTACTTCAAATTACTTAACATTTATTCTACCTACTTTACATTTCTCGACTTTACCGTTCTTTATTTTACCCACTTTACTTCAAATTACTTGACTTTTATTCTACCCACTTTTACTTGACTTTACTTCAAATTACTTAACATTTATTCTACCTACTTTACTTGTCTCGACTTTACCGTACTTTATTTTCCCTTCTTTACTTTACTTGACTTAACCTTACTTGACTTTATTCTACATACTTTACTTAATTACTTGATCTTTTACCAATCAAGAAAAACAGCCTTTGTCATGGTGAGCATGCTTGAATATACATAGATCTCCTTGGTCTTGAAAAGGTTTCATTTTCTTTGTCATAATGTTTTTATACCGAGGAACTCAGATTACTAATAAAAGCCTATTTTGTAAGCAGACATATTGAACTCACTGAAATTAAGTATTAAACCCTTAGATTATTAATCTCAAGTTTCATATTTCTTAATGAGTCTAGAAAAAATCAATAAAAAAAAATTATAATCAAGAATATGACATTTGAGTGTGATGTTTTGCTTTTTTATTTCATGATCACAGCAATGGTAAGCCGTTTGTGTTACTTCACTTTCCCTTACAAAAAACGAACAGTTGTAATCATCAAGAAAGATTTCAGGAACACTTTATTCTCTTGAGCATACAAAGAAATGAGAAACAAACAGAACTGTAGCATTTAACAGTTGAGATTAAATGAATCCGATGTCCCAACATTAATCCATCAATCATTGAAGTTTCTGATTGATAACCTTTACATATTATCAGCATGTTAAGGTAACCTGTATGACTTTCTTAAGATTCTTCCTTCTCGTCTCCGTGTGTGATGATGTAGCAGAGGGACTTGTAGTCGATGTTGCCCGTTGGGTCAATAGGAGCGAGAGCAAAGGCCTGATCAACCTAGAGGTTCATCAATGACAATTTACCAGGTGAAAAATATTATCTTACAGCATAGTCCATGTATCACTATAAAGACAAAAGAGAACACAAACCTCCTCTGCTGTGAATTTATCCGCCTGGTTCATCAGTAATCGTTTAAACCTGCAGGATAAAATGCAAAAGGAGACGATAAATGAGATAATGAAATGTTACTGATGATATGTAAAATATAAATAATGGAAAAGCTATTTAATATTTATCTTACTCATCCTTATTAACAAAGCCTGTCCCATTCGGGTCAAAAAGCTTGAAGGCTCCCAGTATGGTGTCTTCAGGATCGGTGCCTGGAGGACAACAACGCTTCGTCAAGCATCTTCATCAAAGTAAATTAAGAGATTAGTTTGAACTTCTGTAGAAGCTCTTACCGTTGAGTTTCTCTCCAAAAAGAGACAGGAACACGGTGAAGTTGATGGGACCCTTCCCCTCATTCAACATCCCCTCCAGCTCTTCATCATCAACATTAAGCTTCCCTGATACACAGGAGCCCACAGAGAATATGAGCACGTACAGTAAATACAGTTAAATATATCAAATGCATTAAGAACAGCAGGTTGCATCAGTAGATGCTTTTTGTTTTAACAGAAAAAGAGTTAAAGATAAAGAAAATACCCAGCTGTCCATAGGTCTCCTTTAGGTCCTGTTTTTTGATAACACCATCTCTGTCTTGGTCAATGCACCCAAAAGCCTACAAGATAAAGAATGAGAAATATTGAAATTGAATACAAAATAAGTACATGTTTGAGACCTTCAGATGACGAATATATGTTGAATTGCATATAAACCTTTACTGTTTCAAATTAAACTCCAATGCAACAGTTAATTTTACAATTTGTATTAAATATAATGACAAATATATATGTTTTCTTTGGAGTTATATAGGTTTTTCTCGTAAAGGGAGCTGTTATATAAAAATAGCCATGGTAAATGTTGCGTACAGTACCCTGATGCTTTTTACCAATATTGATTCATTTACTTCGCTTGCCATTGTCATATATTTTCTGACAATTTGGCCACTTCAATCATTCTTATATGGATTAAAGTTCACTGAAGTCAAGTAGCTTAGATACTCCCTTAGACACCCTTTCTCTATTTCCCTTCTCATGCATAGGTTTGAAAATAAAAAATCACAGGTTCCTACATCGTTTTTTTTAAAGGGAGCTGCTGAAGGCAGGGACTTTGCAGTACTGTACCTCTTTGAACTCCTGAATCTGTGACTGCTCAAACATGGAGAAGACATTGGAGCAGGACTTCTGTGCTCCCCTCTGTCTCTTATTGGAGGCCTTCTTACTTGCCTGAAAAGATGCACACAAACACATTCAGTGTACTCACTTAAAAGTATACAAACATTTATAATATAGAATAACAACTGATCACAGACTTCAAGTATTGCTTGACTGAAAACGCTCACTGACTTACCATGTCTGAATGATCGAATGCTCCCAGCAGAGTGTGATGCTGGGGTGGGTTTTATGTAGCGCCCATCTTATCTTTTACTTTCCTATAATAGCCTGTGGTGGGCAGCACAGTCCCTTACATGGCCATCACTGCTGTCCGTATGCTTCTGAAGGTACCTGATAAGAGTTGAAGCTGCAGGATTCCTCTGAGCTTGAAAATAGAGATATGAAGTGCATGGAGGGGCGTAAGTGACCTCTGACGTCACTCAACCAATGAAGTTACTCCTCTGAGGTCAAAGCAAGCCATGTATTAACTTCAATGTATGTTTTATGTGTTTTTCTCCTTTTTTTCACACAACATTGTGTGATGATACACAGCAGATTTCCTAAGCATATAATGAGTTCCTATTATTCCAACGCATTGGTAAACTGAGAGGTCTCCCAGGCAGAGAAAGGGGGCAGTATATGAACTATTCTACTATTATTTCATACTTCTCTGATTTTGAAAACTGTTTAAGCAGCGGGCACCAAGTGAAATAAGTAGGGATACTACTGAAGATGTGTCTTAACTAACTTTAGACAGCATTTGCTATTCCAGTAGAAATGAAAGTGATAATAAGTTACAAGATCTAGATACATAAACAACATCTGCTTTTCCATTTCAGCTGTGGTATTATATACAATATTTGGTAATTAAACTGATATTTACATACATTTAAATATAATAGTTGAGTTTATTAAAGCATTTTTATTTAAAGTTGGGCTTATTCAAATCGAAAGCACTTTTCATCATGCACATTTGGAAACTACAACGTACTGGCTAAATATGCATATAGATCTGTATAATTTAAATATACATGACAAAGGAATATTTCATTTCTCACAAACAGAAATCACTACATAACAAAGCAATATATTTGGTTTAGTCATAGATCGTAGCAGCATTTACAAATGGATTCCCTGGGTTATACATGTCATGTACAAGTAATGTAAGGAACAGGTTCGCATGGGTGTTATACCATATCCCCAATCAAACATTAACCATTGTTGAAATGGGCCAGTTCATACCCAAATATTATCAATAGGCAGTGATACACAAATTCAGAAACATTACATGTTTACTACAATCTGGTCTAATGCTACCAAATACTATAATAAAATACAGCTTGCTTTCTTGTCGGTACATCGTCCATCTGTGGGTGCCTTGACCGAAACACATCCCTCAGAGCCTGAAAAAGGCCGGAGCTGCCATCTGTGAATGACTTGTCATCAATGTTCTCAGATCACAGTTCAGTTCACTGGGTCAGCATGCAGGCAGCCATCTTACAGGCCACTGCTGAGATAAGGGCGGCTCCACGACCGCTCCCCTCCTCCGACTGGATGAAGGTGATGTCACAGTGAGGCGTGAGGTCCCTGACAATTTGGTGGAATCTTACACGGAACCTGAGATAAAGGAAAAACTGTCAAATCTCCAACTTCTTTTCCACATCCTCTCTATTGTTTAGTCGTCCAATCAAGATTTATTTACTCCAATAAAGATTTGGAGAGTTAAATATAAGTCCACGAGCACTGCATTTTGGGTACATCTAATCAATCACCAAGTATTTTCCGGTATATAAAAAATTGGGATATTAGAAAGTCTCAAACATGGATTCCTCACCATGGGTGCAGCTTGTAGACGGATCCATCAACCCCCACTGTGATCTTCAGGGCTTCTTGGCTGCGTCGTTCCCTCATCCGGTTGATCACAGCTGCAAGCCCAGCGCCGCACATATGTGAAGAGCGAGTGGAGACGCTCTCACACACCAGACGCACAATGTCACAGTCCAGCTCTGACGGCAGAACACCCAGCGAGGACAGGATGTTGTAAATTTGCTTTCTGTCCCCAGTGTCACTGAAAAAAAGGCAAAAGTTGACAATACATAAATGCTGATATCACAAATGTGTGTATTTATAGTATAAAAAAAAACACCAATTATATTTTGCATTCATTTAAATGTCTAATTAGTTGTCTACAAATATTGTAGTAGCTCACAATTGAATTGTAGCTTTTTGTATTGCTTCCTACTATTTCCCATCAACACCGTCATGTGAGGTGATGTCATTAGGATATAACACAACAGGCTTTACATTATTATTATTTGTTATTATATGTGTTTCTTTCCCTCTCTGATTATGATACGAATGTTTGTCTTTAATCATCTTCATTTGAAGTCCTCTTTTGTCAAATGTCTAATAGGAAACATTCATCTATGTTTTTAAGTTGTCTTATTGGGAGGACAACAGCAGCCATGGCAGTATTTATTGATGCTCACCTCTCCATCTGTGAGACAAAGCACGTCTCAAAGCTCCCACGTGTCTTCAGCTGCTCTGAGGCCTCACCGTTAAACAGCAGGTCTTCATTCACCAGCTTCATCAGAACAAGCCTGACCAGCTCTCCCATATACTTCCCACTGATCAGCTTCTCATATCTACCAGAGGCGAAAAACAAGAGAAGAGACAGGTAATTATAAATACATATATATATAGGAAGGCTGGGAACTCAAGGAGAGGATGTTGAAATTGGGGAAGGAACAGGAAGCAAGTGCACGTCACAAAACGAAATTTAAAAAAAGGGGAACGGATGAAGATGACAACGTCAGTGCTAAAAAGGCTCAATGAGGCTGGGCTCAGCAGTTGTCTGTGTTAAGGGACTGCCAGTGCAAAAGGTAAACAGCCATTAGGCCTACAGGCACTATGGCAAGCAGAGGAGAGGGGTCATTAATCTGACACCCCCGCACACTGACTGACCACTGACGTATGAGGGCTCTGGCCATTTACAGTCATCCTCAGGAAAAACAACTGGTAGCTTAGCAACCACACAGAGAGCTCAAGTGAGAGTCAGGTGAGTATTGCCGCAGAAGGATGATTAATTTAGAAAAACAATAAGACAATGAGGGAGGAAGTGCTTGTCAGACTTTAAAATACAATGTCAATCTCTCAATCTGAGAAGCTTTAATGGCATATTACTTTGAGCACAAACACTTGAGTTAATAAGGTAGATGAAGTTGGTAGACATGTGGAGTTGGGTCAAACGAATGACGAGGTTTAATGTATGTGACTGAATCTTTGAACTGAATGCACTCACAGCTGCCGTCCGGGGTTAATGGAGTTCTCATCCACCACTCTGTCGTACTCCAGTCTGAACTCCTCCAGCTCCCCGTTGTTTCCGAATGCACCCCACTCTGTGTTCACACACATCCGGCCCTCCTCCCCTTCCACCAGCTCCACAGTCCTCATCTCCTCCATGTAACATGCGTTACAGCCAGTGCCTGGTGTCAAGAAAAGCAAAAAAACACACTTTAAATATGCTTGAGTCTACATGTCTGTGTGCATGGATACATGTTCATGAGTGCATATCAATATCACGTGTTACTATTTACCAACAATCATCCCAACTTCGCAGCTGCGATCCTCATAGTAGCAGGAAATCATGGTGGCTACTGTGTCATTCACCATGGCAACCACATCCATCTCAAAGTCCTAAATGACGACATCATATTTAGAGTCATCCAGCTGTATATGGTCTGGTTTATTAAAAAAAAGACACTTCTAATAAGCAGTAACTCACCCCTCGTCTCTTGATAGCATCTCTGAGTAAGCCAACAATGTTGTTCCCTTCTGCTCCAGAAGCCTTGAAGCCTTTGGTCCAGTTAAGCAGGATACCCTGTGGAAAGAAAACATATAAATATAAATTAAGGAAATATAAGATACATAACTTTTATAGGTCTAGCACTGTTGACCGATCTTGGGATTGTTTAAAAGTATGCCCAATGTAGTGTATAACATCCTACCTTGTCAATGTCCTCATGCCTTACTGGAAAGGAAAAGGTGAAACCCAGAGGAAGCTTCTTGTGCTTTAAATGATGTCTGTCCAAAAAGTCGGACATACACTCTGCTATGTAGTCAAAAAGCTGCAGAAAGAGAGGATAATATGAGATGTGGAAAAATTATCATTCTAACATCATTCTGTATTTACAAAAGAACAACCTTAATACATTTCTTTTTGGCAATCTTTGATTTTGAACATACAAAATTGTCAAACACAATAGCGTGAGGAAACATGAACATGAATAACACTGGAAAAGAATTGCCATGCTAACCATTTCAGCAGTGCCCGTCATGGCATCTTCAGGAATGGAGTACATCTGGTTCTTGGTCTCCACCTTCCAGATCCTCTCTTCATCTTCACCCACCTTCACAAGCATCACGCGGAAGTTGGTCCCCCCCAGGTCGAGAGCCAGGAAATTTCCCACTTCTGCTAAAACACACACTACATCTGAACGTGCACGTAATGGCTTTACCTGCACAGGTGATAATCATGAGATAACAAAAAAGAACTATGCGATCCTCTAATGGTGAAAGAATGAGTTTCTACCTGATCCTTCAGGGGTGGAGCAGACATATGTTGGAAGCATTTTGACACTAGCCTCATCGTGCGTCTCTAAACGCAATCCTCGGTCCATCTCGCGCTGCATCCTCTTCATGACTTCTTTTAGCTCTTCCTTCTTCAAACTGAAGTCTGACAGGATCTCCTCTACCTGCAACAAGAGCAGAGAAGATTTTTCAAAAAGGCCATTCGACATTATTGGTATATATACTGTACATATATGCACTGGAAACACGCTTCTAATCCAAACTGAGAAACAGCTTTTTCAAACTACATGAGGTTTCAAAACAAGAAAGGAAAATCATAAGCGGCAACAGCAGAGAAGGAATCAGAGCACAAACAAATTAGATGAAAAGAGAGAAAAACACTACTTTACAATACAACACAAAGGAAGGAATTGCTGAGGACTCCAATGTCTGCTTCAGAATTGCCACATACAACCATGTTTTCAGTAAATACAGGACAAAGTAGCATCTGAACAACTAATACAATCAAGCTTCTCACCCAGAGTTGCTTCTGAAACAACATGGTGCAGTCTGTGTGTAAAGATTATTGTTAATTCACATAACAGTCACATGGGATAAAAGTACAAATCTCTAACAATACTAACATTACAAATGATTGAAAGCTTTACAAAGTCTTGTCGAACAGAAAAGT